CACGTATTAGAAAATGTATAATACCGAACTATTCACTGTGAATATGTGGATGGAGGGAAAGGGGAAGGGGGAATATAGTTTCATTTTAAAGTTTATTGCTTCTCCTAAAAAATCGAAGCTGCGTCGCTCATGTGCGGAGTGTGTGAGTGTAGGTGCAGGTATGGGTGTTGTTTTTGGTGTGAGTGCGTTGGTGTATTTGTGGGTATAGATTACGAAAAGAGACACCCAAACCCACACCCTTGTGAGCGATTAAAAGACTTGAGTGGCATTGCTGGTAATAGGATTTCTTCGGTAATAGATTCTTCTGCAAGTTGATTAGATACTCGGTGATTTAAAATATCATCTTTGTCACTACAAGATGGCGATTTAAAACAAAAAAAAAACATAAAATTTTCTCATATTTTATATCGATAAAGGTGAATCAACAAACACTTTTGAGAAGACAAGACATGAAATCTTGTTGGCACTCATCGTCTCATCATTTTCTTTTTTCTCTATTGATTGGATATCATCATTTGATATTTTTGATTTCATTGGCGCTTTATGCCGATCGTCATGTCCAAGGCGTTGAGCACGTATCATCAACCGCCTACGTATCGCTACTTTTTTACACAATCGTAATTGAAGATTTTTTACTGAAAGAATTTCACTCTCTTCCACTGTTCTGTCATTATGCAATACTGCATTATTATTTAATAGAAACAAATAATAGTGGTTGCAATCAATTTTTCCACTGTATCTACTCTTGTTGCACACATATTGGATAATATCTCTCATTGTTGATTTTGGTGTAACTTGCACATCTATGCATTCACGAGTTTGCTTGAATTGAACACTAATTGTTGTATGAGCCATTGTTTCTTTGAATTACAATCTAGAGCATAGTCAGTCTCAGTTAATCATAATTTACATTGTTTTTTTTAATGAAAACACTAATACAAAAAGTATTGACCATTCTCGAGTTTCAGTTGTAATAACCAGTCGGTGACACATCATCATGACAAAAAGAAAAGGTATACATCATATCCTTAATCTCTACTCTTGTACGTAATAGACATCCTTGAACTGTAAACAGATTACAAAGAAGCTGGTTGTGGCTCTTTTCTTTGTCTGAACCCACATTCTATTTAATTCTCTTCCTCACTAAGCATTTTCCAATAGTCAATACTTCTCTGAGATAGAACGATATAAAGATTCACAAATCATTGAGCTTATACAAGGAGGAAAGTGATTACGTAGAATTCGTCAATCTTCTTATGAGCATCTATTTCTTCGTTATGAGAATATCGGTTAAGAGTGAAAATACTATAACATGCTAGGGAATTCAGAGTTCGTTGACTCGAAATAGTAACCATCTATACTAGTGTCGAAGGAGAGCTCACATGAATATGAATGTGACTAAATTGTGCAGATACTTTCTTTAGCAGTCGTAACTCGTTTCATATCTTATAAGTTGAGATGAGTATATATAATGAGTTTGGTACTAACGATTTTCTTTTCGATATGAAGAGGAAATCTCAAACAAAAAAATGATACTGGAATTTTTTTTAAAAACATCTTACATACGTAGATAACGGTGCAAAAAATGATAGAAAAATAATGCAGGTGATTTTAGAACCTATCTTTCAAATTATGAAAGGTACATATCGAGGCTGTGATTGGATGAGTACGTGATAACTTGGAAAAGTTCGCGAGTTAACTCTCAACTGACGAACAGTTCAACATAAAACTATTGTGATATTGTTGCAAACTTGTTAGTTCAGCGTAAACTAATTCTCTTCAAGAACACGCATCAACATCTGAACCAACAACTCAGTGAAAACTCTTCGAAAGCAAGTTACAAGTCATTTTCACTCTAAACTCTGATCTTCGACTTAGGTTAAGTAGATATAATTTTTGTATGAAATGCAACATATAGCGAAGAGTATATACAAACACTCGCAGTGGGGAAAAAGAAAATCTCCAACCAGTGACGTGTCCAGAGGGAGGAATAGGGGGATCGATCTCCCCTGGAGAAATACGAACACCTGGAGGGGAGTACGGGCCGAATTATTCTTGTGTGTCTAAAACCAGTCTCTCTCCACAGTGGTCCCCCTGAGAACGATCAATCCCCCCCTCGGAAAAAATTCCTGGGCACGCCAATGTCTCCAACCATAAGACGGAAGTGAAAGAAAATGAATTTCGACTTCTTCTGACTTCTGTTTACGAGGAATGTAAGGTGGTAAGTGCCAACTTAATTTTTGTTTGCAAAAGAAATGTGCAATATTTGTGCAAGAGATGTGCTATGTTTGAAAAACGCGCATAAACACTTCCACGAAAAAAAAATTTGATTACACTGCAGAAATGAAAAAAAGAATTATGAGTTACTTTGCTCGTTTCATTGTCATGAATAATACAAAGAAATTTTCAAATTAGTTTCTTCTCAAATCAATATTTATTTTAAATTACTTCAAAGCTATTAAAATCGTTCGAAAATGGGAAAAAATTGGAGTCGAATTGAAAAGAAGGAAGTAGATCAAAATCAACAACAATCTCTAAGTGTAGGTGGAAATTTGTTCAAGAGAAGGCTCACACCTCATCCTTCTCACATTCTATTAGTTGAAGTACTAAATGAGTCAAATGAGGACACATGAAATATTCAAATTGAGATGATTTAATTTTCGAAAAAACATTATCATATGTATAAAGATTATCATTCCAATCTAGATAATAAAGATGAATTTTCAGATTACAAATAAATATTATCATTTGCTTGTTTGATGTTCCACCTATGGATTCCATATTATACGTGTAAATAACGAAGTCCATCACGATCGACTGTCAAAATCATCGATCAGACTTTCTGTTGCATGTTTAGGAAAAAAAATTGACCGAATTTGTCATGAATTGGCACTGAGTATTCTCTAAATGTCGAAATATCAACGAAAACTCTTTAAAAGTTGGCTCAATACTAAGATATTGATAATGATTTCAGACTTGTTGTGAGCAAACATTGATAGAAATGAGATTCGAAGGGGTACATACGTATCACTGAGCCACACATGCTTAGAACGTTATCAGGATAAACAAAAACAATGTGTGAGTATTGACTTCAGTCTTATACAAGGCATCTATTCATTCAAAAAGTATTTTTGTCTTTCTAATAGAGAACTCATTTATGTTCAGATTCACATTTTCCTCGAATACATAAGAGGTTCCTCTAAAAAGAATAACTCTGTCTATACAGTTCATCAAGATGAATTTCAAAATGAAAGTATATCGTATTAAATATTGAGAATGATTATCTATGCATTTGTGACAGCTGAAGAAGTAGTAGATGGTGTCTATGAAGTTTAATAAAAGTTCATTATTTTCATAATTTTAGTAATACAACCTTTAGATCGAAACTAAAATCATCTAAACATTATAAAATGAACGGTCTTTTACCTTATCAGAATATTTATAAATTTGAATAGACCTTCTATTCAGTCCTTAAGGAAAATTAAATTTTTCAATATCTCTGAAATTCATATATTAGAGTTGGTACTATACGTGTCTAGAGTATAGAGAACAAAATGTTACATGACAAAAAATAAACCATAGTCTTCAATATTTAACACTCTCCGAATGGCAATCTTCTAACATGTTTCTTGTTTTTCTAGTTCACAGGGATTAAATTTTTTTTTGCGCACAAGATGTGACTTCAATTATAGAGAGGTTTTCTGATGTCTTCGTGGCTTTATATAATTGGCGAGGATCATTGTTTCCGAACTCTTAACTTTTCAAGTCAGATGCCATGCTAATCAATCTTGAAATTCGTCAGCAGAAATTATTTATTGTTCTTCGATTATCATCTATTCAAAGTTAAGTGACTGTTTTTCATTTGAACTTTTTGTTTTCTTTTATATAGAAATGATTGGAGAGGGAAAAACAACTATTCTCTTATGATGATACAACGAGAGAGAAACAATAAATACTTGATCATCTGTATTGAACAATCAAGAAGATATCAAATACTCGAAATCAATAAAGTGTTTCGAATTAAAGAGACGAGTAACATGAAACTTGTAATTGATCAAATTGAAACAGAAGAATTATTCTGGATTTTTGGTATTCGAGTAATTCACGTGCGACCTATTGAATGATGATTGACTCATAATGAGAAACGAATCCTGTTGTCATCTCTTGTCAATTGTAATTGTAAAAACTTCGATTATTTTTTAGATCTATCTGAAGTCCTGTTGTGCAAAAATTGTATAATTATGATAGTACATCTTTAGTAGTATTTGAGAATTTGATATTGAAAATCAAACATTGCAAGTTTATCATATGCAAGAATCGGTTTTTCTAAAACTCTCAATCGAAAATTGCCATCCTATAAAAATTCAAATAGAATTAAACAGACATTTCAAATCTTCAATCCTAATTGTTACATCAGCTACACTTGCTGATAAAAGTAATGCGTCAGCCTCGTTTGACTCAACCATGAAAGTAAAGGATAGATGAAATGAAAAGAAATTTTCGACTAGATGTAAACAAAAAAAATCAACTTTACGTGTCAGAAATTTTTCTTGTAAATAACAATATGTTTTACATTTTTTTAATTTTATTTATAAACCTTTTAATCTACATTTTTTTTGACATGATACTGGAATGATAAATCAATACATTTGACACTGTAATCGTCATGCTGTTGAAAAGTCGTACTAGACATTGGCAGTTAAATGAAGATTTCTTGATATAATTGAAGAATTGCTCTCCGTATGCAAACGAATGATATGAGATCAATTGTATAAAGATTTACTTATACAAGATTAATCTCATATTTTGACAACGATGAGAATTATCAATCATCTTATTTATTAATATCTTGACTTCATACAATATGATATTTCTTTAGTTCTATGTCCGAACCTATGTGGTTCTTCATGGCTTTTTTCCTCAATTTTACCTTCACTATAAAGATTTTTAAAAACAAAGTTATTCATTGATCTGAACAAATCTCCCTATCATATTCAAATTTATGTTGTTGGACGATTCAAAGCTGTTATGTTTCTAACACGCATTGTAACTAGAGGTATTGTATGAGTATTATGTCTGTCGTAATTAACACGAATACATTGATGAAACCATCTCATTCGTCTCAAAAGTTGAAGCAATTTTCGTCTAAATGATGGACTGGAAAGTGTATGCAAATAAAACGCAGCACTATAGTTTAAATACGGTAATGTGAATGACATATTGATCAAGAATGAACTTATTGCTGCAATTTGAGTATTTTGTGGTGTAGGAAAGACAAGACTACAGATAAGATAAGCTGAATATAATAAATTGTATAAACAATCAGTAGCTACTTGAACAAATAACATAATGATATATTGACCAACAATTTTACGTTCATCATGTGCATCAGTATTCATTGGTATAATTCGTGATTGCATGGATTTTAAATGAGTGAAAGTAATGAAACCACATACAATCATAGCCGATGGAATAAATAATCCTTGAACAAGTGTCGATATTGTTAAATAGGTCGCATAGGTAGAACCTGGTGGTGATAAACATTGACCGTAGACTATAGTATGATACACTAAAGCGGGTGTAAAATAGGCAAAGCATAGAATCCAATTGAATGCAATCAAATGATATGCCACTCGTGGACGACTCTCCATACGTATCCATGCACTTCTTGAACTGGCGCACATTCGATCGATACAAGCCAGTAAAATAGAACATCGATAAATTAAAAAAAAAGTACTAGTTAAATAAGTACGCCAACGACAAAACCATAAAGATTTCAAAGCTGGATCAATATTCCATATTCCACGAAGAATACGAAGAACAAGACCAAAATTTAATATAAATATATTAATAATCGATGCTGATAAGAAATAGAGTAAACATGAATTTGAACGTGATGAACGTTGAGAAAATATTAATAAATTTAAACAATTACCAATATTTCCCAAAACAAAACAAATAGGTAATACAATATAATTGAAACACCATAGAACTTCATTGAAAGTAGTGATGAGATTGGGAAGTGATGTATTCGACATTTGTGTCGTAATTCAAACTACGCAGATAAATACTTTAACGATTGATTTAGTAGCTTGAAAATGAAAAGACAATCAGAAAATCTAGTTGTTCAATAAATGATCAATTTGTGCACAAGTGTCTTTAATACTAAACAAGCAAAACTAGTGAGTGTGTGTGGTTGACAATATCAATGCGTATTCTAATGTATGGTAAAGGAAAAAAAAAGATGCTCTTGTTGTCCAGAACAGAATAAAAATGAAGTGTAATGAATTGTATTGAAGATGCGAAATAAACTGTCAAAACTATAATTAAATACTATATATAATCTATTATCTCTAATAGGATATTTTTATTCTATTTGAGAATAGAAATCCATCTACACCTATACTTTAGCATTTTACATAGTCATTATAACCATATACTTTCGTTGCATGTAAAGAACACCAAATGGAGACGCATACAAAACATTGATTACTCTATTCATATCTATGTTGCTTCGAATATTATCGTATTCTTTTTATTCTTAACTTAGTATCTTTAAATAATATATCATTTTGCTATCAAAAGCAGAACGTTCACAGGTTTTACTGAGAGTTAGAATCTATTACAAAGAAGATGTCAAATGCAACACTTTCATTATCACTCTCGAAACTGTTTGTGATGGCATGAACGATGCGCATATTACTATGGCATGAATTCTAGAGTACTGTAAAACTTGAAAACTCGGTACGACTCGAACAGCCCGTTCGAGTAATTTTTTTTGCACAGATCAAATGAAGAAGATTTAGATCTTCTAGAACAAGTAGTAAATAATAATCGATTTGAGTCATCAGTAAATGAGTGGTGGTGTTTGCACTGAGCAATCTATTGACTTTTTTTATACAAAATACTCGTTCATGGGTTTTCTTTTCGTCACTTGAATTTTCACTTACTGAAATTCTGCTTTATAATTGAATGAATCAAGCATCGATGTGGCCATACTAGTTAATTCTCGAATGTTCTTCAAGTATCAAATTGATAACTGTCAACAGATAGCTAAATCATTTTTTGTATGATTTCGTTTCATCCATGATAGCTGAACATGACTTTATTGTATTAGCAATGAATGATCGCCGTTTACTCACACTATAGCTGACTGTCAGCGGCTACTGCTGTAAAGAGATACCAATTAAGAATTGAAAAAAATTGTGAATTTTTCTAATTCTGTCAAAGTTGAAAGATTTAAGATACTCTTCGACTTATTGGTAAACACTTCGTAATGTATCTCCTTCTGATAACAAGTTTTAGAATGAAATAGAAAAAAATTCCCTTCATAATATTAATCAATGTCGAAGAAAAGATCAATATAATTCTATGTTTATATCAAATATGCTGAAACTTGGCTTCTGTGTTGATCTGTAACATCGAATCGTTTTCTTTTAGTTGCTGTTTGATCAAATGTCTATGCATATTCTCTTTGATTTCGTTGGAAGCTCAACTTTTGATTGAAATATCTTTAAAATAATAGCACAATTATAAAATGTGACCCCAAATTGTTCGCATGAAACGATAAATGCAATGATTTTTGAAGCAAACAAACAGACGTGATAATTAAATTGATTAACGATGACGAGCAGAAAAAATCATCTCATATCAATTGTTCGAAAATTAGTCAGAAAAAAACATGTTGACTATATGTACTACAAAGAAGACACAATCTGACTTAAACGCATTGGAACCATTCGAAAAACAAAAAGGATCAGAGTGCGGGTGTGGGTGAAGAGAAGATCGATACCCACATTCACATCCCAATAGACGTCGGTTAACCAGCGGTATTACAACGAAACTGTCGGTATACCGCCAGTATACTGGTGGTAGTTCAAATAAATGTACGACATGGATTACTAGAGTTTACTGTTCATAGCATTTGTCATGGAACAATCTTTGGATGTTCTAGTGAGAGAAATAAATCGATCCTGATTGTATTCATTCAATAACTAATAGTTTCAAACACAATGTTATTAAGTAACGACCACTTGTTTATCATTCAGCACACGTCAGGATTGCCAGACGTGAGAATGAAAAATCTGGAAAGATTTTCGAGGATCAGTTTTACTGCTTATAGTACGTTTTTATGAATCAGATCATCAATAACATTATTCTTTATCTCCACGATATATCTTTTATTGAAACACAAGATAATAAACATAAAAATATAATTAACTCAAAGAATAACAATTTGTAAACAATACATTTCGATATCAATTAGCAAGTTGTTTTTTTTAATACAATATTTTGTATTAGAATAGGTAAAAATGAATTCAAACGAATTTTTAACTCAACTGCAATGGGTTCTACATTGACATACGATTCCGTTTATCATCATATAAATGTTTGATTGTCGTCGAAAGAGAAAAGGAAAAATAATTTGTCATTTGGGCTGACCAATAGAAGGAAAACCTAAATCTCTATCGGGTTATTAATACATTTTATAGAATATATCACAAACAAATAAATTCGGAAGATATTACAATCCTAAGGTAAACTGTGTCATATACACATCACATGAATCATCCGAAGAAACAAAAAACTAATTAACGTGTATGCTTTCTCTTCTTCCTTTTTTTATAATGATATTATTGCACACGATGCCTGTAAGTTGGTATTTTCACTTACACAAAGTGAATCTGATGCGCAATTGACGAATAACAGGATGGGTGTGGGTGTGGGTGGGTGTGGGTGTGGGTGTGGATGGGTGTGGATGGGTGTCGGTGTGGGTGTGGATATCTTCTCATCACACACCCGCACCCATCCACACCCACACTCACCCAAACCCATACCTTCCAAAAAAGAGAATATTGAAAGAACGAAATAGATGCGACGATAAGCACACTGATGAAAAAACCTACCTACCTGATGAAGATGTCACGCATCGCTGATTCACGTAAACACGTTTAAGTGAGAAAAATCCAAGTGATATCGTCAACGATAAATACGAAGCAAAATTGATTACAAACACACAAAACAAACTCGCACCCTCCCGTGTTACTCAATACGTAAGTATGTTTAGTTTCTAACATTATTAGACGAGTGATCAAATTCCAGCTCAAAGTCTAGAGTAACTACTAACGAGAAAACATGACGGGATATAGAAATGGAGCATTTCAAATGCCAGAAATCGATTTCAAGAAATTCTATTGAAGATACTGAGCATATGTGATTAATAATCTTGATTGTCACAGCTCTTCCACGGAAAATAGTCCAACTACATGTCATGCCAAACAGAATGTTCTTTTGAAATACCTAGACAAGTGACAATATTTCTTTTTTTACCGTTGATAACCGTATTTTTTGACCAAACTGGTGAGTAAGATGATATAAAGAATATTTTCACAGCCGTAAAACTGTCTAGGCAACCCACAATTTCCATCAGAAATCGAGCTCCATTTTTCGATTCACATTAAAATGAATAGACTGTTATATGGTTTCTCTCTGTTTAGTTTATATAAGTGTGTATAACATGTAATATAGATAGAACTGAAGATAGGAGGTGACTCGATAAACGCCATTACCGAGGGTGTTGTTAAAGTAACTCATTCAGTTTGTCACTAGGAAAGCCTTACTAATACTGTCATAATTTGCTTTCATCACGAAACATGACATATTTGACTACAGTCGTAACTAGTTCCTACTTCCGAGCTAGACGCAGGAAGAGACAATTGTTGTTTTCGTCACACGTCAATGAACTCGGAAGTAACCATACTATATTAACAAACGTAATTTGCTTTTATCTTCAAGTAGGGGTATCAGTTTCGGATTCCGAATTCCCAGAAACGGGAACCCAGGCGGGTTCCGGGTTCTTGGGAACTCAGAATCCTAGGAAATGGAGAATTCTGACACTCATATCTTCAAGTGCAAGCCTTCGCACTTTGATTTAGCATATTGTGGCAATAAGAATAGGTAATTTCTAATACAAAAGCCTCGTGCTTTCCAATTTTTCAATTGATCATGAATCAGTTATGTTTGAGCTGGCTTTTGCCAAATGTGCTAAAATGGCACAAATAGAAGAATCATCATTGATTTTCGTCATCGAAAAAGATATAAACAGCGACTCATCATTAACTTTTGCTATCTATTTTTTACAGCATTCAGCTGAAATCCACGATATTAATTGGTATACACATATTTTTATGGAGGTGTAAAGAAACACCTGCATTTCTTGCCAATATGTTTGATAAGCGACGAAATCATACACGCACACTGTAAATATCGAATTTCTATCAATATCTTTTTCCGGAAAGTGGGTAATATAACCACTGATTTAGATTATATTTGTATAGCTTTTTCGATTCGGTGTCTCAATAACATGAAAATTTTCGGAATTCAGCACAAATCTTTCAGTGTTTCATTCTGTGATAGAGTTGTAAGGTCCTTCTATCATCTCTATTATAAAAGTGTACTTTTCACAACCATATCTCACATAAATTATGGTGAGACATGTCGTATGACACTGCAATTACCTTCCTAGTTGTCGAAGTCTCCTTGAAATTTGAAATCGTTGCATTATAACTCGTCATGATTGGACAAGCCGTGAATCAGTGTACTTCTCTTCGTGTTTTTCGCTAAACGAAATTTCGTCATAAATAACATATTCCTTTTGAGTGGGAGATGTATGCTGAAATTTCATGGTTTTTCGTTTGGTACAGCGATCGAAGGCACCTTCTTACTACTACACTTTGTTTGCGGCGGCTTACGCACATTACTAAAGCAAGATTTCGCTTATTCATCTAGCTTCTCTGAAAACAAAAAAATGTCGTTTTTTTCTTCTATGTGTAATAGTTTATTGAAAAAATAAGAGTGTGTTTTTATATTTAAAGGTAATAAGTATAGGAAAACAAATCTAATCAGCATTTTGCGTTTGAAAAGAATTCGATTATATTCATTATTTTAGACAACTTATCAGGATGCTTGTACCGCTGCGTCTAATTTTCACTATTATCTTCTCATCGTTAATGATATGCTGTAGATCTACCGGTGGTAT